AGGGGCTGTTAATTCTTCTCAGGGTAGAGAGCCTTGTATTTCTCCCACAGGACGGCTGGTGGTTTTCAACTGCTGACCCTTCCGATTGCAGCCCAGTGCACAACCACGATGCCACCAGGGCTCTGGGGCAAAGGCAGAAGCTGTAAGTAACGAGCCAGAAGTCAGGGATTTCTCAGAACATGTGTGCAGGAGGGGAGGGGGCCCAAGACCCCAAATACTGCAAGACACAGCTTGCACAGTGAGGGTAGATCTGAGTCCACCACCCATCTGCCCTACCTACTGCTTGGCTGCTGTGTGGCTAGGAAGCTACAGAGCTGATATTTCAAATGCCAGCGGGGCAGAGCTTCCTTGGAGTTCCCACATGAAGACTAGGAAGAAAGGCCTGGCAGTCTACTTCCCAAAACCAGCCAATGAAACCCAATAAGCAGGGATCACCAGAGACCCATGTCCGGTGGAGACCTGGATTAAGAGCGCTCAAAATGCTGTGTGACCACAGCAGTGGCTCTAGCAGGCCAACGAGGGTGGGGATGGCGCCAGACTGGGCACCGCTCCTTTCTGTTGTCCGGGGGCACACGTGAGTCAGAGCCAACGACAGCACCTACCCCTTGCCCTGCCATGTGCTACCCATTGCGCTGCAAACCACAAGGTCAACGATGCTAACCCACCATCCATTCCACGGGAGAAAGACAAGACGTTCTACTCACTCCTGTAAAGAGTTACAGTCTTGGAAACCTACAGCGACCGTTCTACCCTGTCCTAGAGGGTCGCTGTGAGTCAGCATGATGATGGCAGGGAGTGAATACTTCTGAGTCAGTGAGATAGAAATAAAAAAAAAAATACCCCCCTGCTGTAGAGTCGAGTCAGGGACTCTAGAACTGCTCCTGTGAGCCCCCAAGGCTGCCCATCTTTACAGGAGGCTCCTCATCTTTTGGCCGAGGAGTGGCTGGTGGTTTTGAACGCCTAACCTTCAGCAGCAGCCCAATACCTAACCCACCACGCACGGGGCTGCCAAGCGAGGGGAACTCAGGGATTAAAACTGGAAAGTGTGCAGCTCTTCCCCTGCCCACCTTACTGGGACTGGGGCTTTTCCCAGCCCCCAGTTACATATCCAGGGGGGCTGTCAGCTGGCACCCCCCACAGACAACCCCCTGCCCTAGCTCCTCCTCCTCAGAGGCCGAGCCTGGGAACTCACTTTGTTCTGGCAAGTCCAGTCTAACTCCGAGCAACCTGCCCCACTGTTCCTCTGAGGCTGCAGACTGCCAGGCCTTTCTCCCCCCGTGGAGCATCTGGGTGGGTTTGGACAGAGGATCTTTCAGTTCATAGCTGGGCATTTGATCGCTGTACCACCAAGCCTCCTTTCTTGTGAATCGGTCACCCTCAGCATATGTCATGAGGTTGGCATACCCAACATACTAAACTCACAGCAGCCCGGCAGGACAGGGTAGAAGTGCCTCTGTGGGTTTCTGAGACTGTAACTCTTTACAAGAGTAGACAGCCTGGTCTTTCTCCCGCAGAGTGACTGGTGGTTTCAAACTGCTGACCTAAGCCACCAGAGCTCCTGAAAACCCCTAACACCCCCCCACACACACACACACAACCTATTGCTGTCGAATCAGTGATGGCGACCCTATGTGTGCACAGGGGAACTGCCACCTAGGGTTCTCTTAGTTCAGCCGTTAGAAAAGCAAGTGGCCAGCCCTTTCTGCAATGCCGCCCATGTGGACTCAAGGTGCCTCCTGTGAGTTAGTAGCTGAGTGCAAACCTTTTGAGCCACCCAGGGGACCTGGACAGTTAGTCCTTGTTGGGTGCCACTGACTTGGTTAAGACTCAGAGTGACCTGGTGTGCAACAGAACGAAATGCCACCCGGCCCTGCACCATCCTCACCGCCGTCCATCCCTCCGAGCCCGTTGTCGCAGCCGCTGTGCCCGTCCATGTCCTTGAGGGCCTTCACTCTTTCCTGGCCCCTCCACCGTCCCGGGGCTGGCGCCTTTCCCAGGGCCCAGACACTCACAGCAGGGGAAGTAAGGCTGAACACAGTGTCCTCTCTCTTAGGAACCAGCCCCCTTCCTTACCCCTCACATCGAAACGTTGGAGGAAGAGCCAGAAAGAAACAGACGTGGATTCTTTTGTGACATACAAGTGGATTTCAAATGAAACACAAAGAGTTCCCACCACTACCACCAAAAAAAGAAAGAAAGAAAGAAAAACACCCACAGGGTGATTCCAACACAGAACTAGTCCCCACATCTGATTTCTCAGAAGAAGATCACCAGGCCTTTCTTCCAAGGCACCCTCTGGGTGGGCTTGAACTTCCAACCTTCACGTGAGCAACCAGCATGCTAGGCAGCTTGGCTGCCTGTGGCCTGAACTAGAGGACAAGCAGCAGCAGGCTGTGGATTGGGAAGTTGGGGGTGGTGGGGGTAAGCAGCAAGAGAAGAGGCCCTGGAGGGGCAGGCGAAGCTGGACTAGGACTCTCCACTCCCACCCTGGCCAATGTAACTGTGCCCCCATCCCTTGGATTTGGCCTGGCCGAAGAGAGGAACATTTTCATTGCCTCTTCTGTGAGCAAAATGCATCCCAAACACCAAGCGGCCCTGCAGGGCAGGGCAGAACGGCTCCTGTGAGTTTCCAGCCTCCTCTTTCTCCTGAAGAGCGGCTGGTGGTTTCGAACTGCTAAAGTTAGCAGTCCAACGCATAACCTATGCCAAGCTCATCTCTCACTGCCGTCCAGGCAGTACTGACTCCTAGTGACTCGCTGTGAGTTTCCCCAGACAGTACCTGTTTATGGGAGTAGAAAGCCCAGCCTTTCTCTCTTGGAGCTGCTGGTGGTTTTGAACTGTGGATCATGCGGATCACAGCCCAACCCGTAACCACTACACTGCCAGGGCTCTTCCGCCAAGGTCGTAGACAGTACCTACTGCCTTCCTCTCGAATTGTGTTTGGAAAAGCAAGGAATGAGAGAACTTCTGCAAGCAGACAGTCACTGTTTGGCTGGGAGGTGCCACCAAGTCAATTCTGACTCAGAGTGACCCCAGAGACAGAGCAGACCTGCCCCCCACCCCCACCCCACCCCACGGGGAGGTCAAGGTGCTCATCTTGATGGGCAGGTCACCGGGCCTTTCTCCTGCAGAGCCTTGTGGCAGGTTCGAGCCATCAGCTCTCCGGTTAGCTTGCAGCCTTGCTTTATTTGAGCCCGTGAAGGAAATCATGAAGTGGCACTAGCATTTGCCATGGGAGCGCCCCGTGTGCCAGTGAATCTGTGCTCCACAAGGATCCCAACCGCCCACTTTCCAAAAACCACTAGCCCTTTTTCTCACGGTAAGCTCTCAAAACCAAAGCAAACGCACGGCCATCGAATGGGCTTTGACTCATAAGCCAAGCCAACCTCCAACTTCTCCTTCAGCAGCCAAGGGCCTTATGAGTTGGCACCACCCGAACCCTGCAACGTGAGATAGATCCACTGGCAAACTGACACCTGACCCAAGACCATTTGGCCTAGGACTTAAATGCACGGCCATCGAGGAGCTGGTCCCGACTCGTGGGGACCCTATAGGATGGAGTGAAACTGCCCTGGGGAGTTTCCAAGGCGGCGACTGTTTAAGAGAGTAGACAGTCAGTCTCATCTTTCTCCTGAGGGGTGCCCGGTGGTTTCAAACTACTGACCTTGGGGTTAGCAGCCCCATGCGTAACCCACTGCTCCTTCTGACTCCATGGGTGGGGTTTTGGACACCCTATACAGGTGCAGACAGCCTCATCTTTCTCTTGCAGAGTGACTGGTGGGCTCGACCCGCTGACCTGGGAGTTAGCAGCCCATTACAGAAAACCAGAATTGGACTTGTGGGCTTGGGCAGCACTGGGTTGGGATGTTTTCTTGATGCACACTTACCCTTTATATAAAACTCTCTCTTATACATGCGTTTCTGTGGATTTGTTTCTCTAAAGTACCCAGACTCACACACATTCTGTCACCGTTTCAGGGCCATGTGTATTTTGTCTTGATGTGTGCGTTTTTCCGCAGGTGAATCTCGGATTAGGTAAGCCTACGGATGCAACCGCTGGACGAGCACATTCAAAGGGACGTGGCAGGGGAGGCTGATGGGAAATGAGAACAAGGAGGAGGAATTGTCCTGGGACTGACGGAGATGGGACTGTGGCCATGTATGTATGTGAACTGTATATCGGTAAAAGTGCTAAGAATAAGAGCCGAACTCACTGCCACTGAGGCCCTTCTAACTCACAGCGACCCCACAGGACAGCGCAGAACTGCCTCGGTGGGTTCCCCAGACTGTAATTCTTCCCGGGAGTAGAAAGCCTCATCTTTCTCCCACAGAGCAGCGGGTGGTTTTGAACTGCTACCCCTGTGGATGGCAGGCCAGGGTGTTCCCTACCACACCATCAAAGTTCTTTCTGGTTGAGCCCTCTCTCCCTGTCTTACCTAAGTTTCCACCACCCCCCTCCCTAGGTTAATTCGTTTTTTTACAAACTTGCTTCTACCAACATAGCTCACCCTTTGCTCATTTGTCATGTGGACTCTCCGTCTCCTGTAGGAGACTGTGAGCTTCACAAGCATACAAGTGTGCGTGCGATTTTTAATTGTGCTGAATCTTCAGTTCTCAGAATGGTACTCAATAAACGTTTGTTGGGGCAGTGGGGCAGTGGGTGGGCCTGATCGCTGCGGTCCCCGCAGCACCTTCTCATATGGAAGAGAAAGAACAGGAACTTATTTGTTATGAGCGAGCTACATGCAAACAGGTGGCGAACCCTTCTTAAGCACGTGCTGGCCGTGCTTCGACAAAGCCGGCGTACCGATCGGAAGATGAGGATTATGAATGACCCACTTGCTGGGGTGGAAACAGCCTGTGCTCCCCACACCCCGCCTGAAGAACCTCTTTGTTCCCTCCCGGCAAGACACCTGATGCCACGCAGATACGGGCCGGTGAGATTTCACCAGAGCGGCTCCCCTCTTATTGTTGTTGACTTTTGAAGCCTTCCACAAAGGGCCCTTTCTCAGCATCCAGTTCTCAAATGGGGTGGATCTGAACTACCAGGAAAGCCCCACCCCCCAATCCTGGCTTTCACATGGCTGTCAAGAAGCGTGTGCCCCACAGATAGAAGAGCCATTGGAGAAGATTCTTAAATGTTTGGGTCCGAAATCTGATCTGAATTCATGCTGCTGTGCGTCCCACGAGCACAGAGCATGGCTCCACGGAGCTTGTGGGGCAGCGACCTTGCAGAAGCAGGTCGCCAGGCCTGTCTTGCTCTGGCCTCTGGAAGGGTTTGAACCTCCAACCTTTCCGTTACTCCAGCACTTCACCTACACTCATCCCACATCGACAGGTCAGGGCACTGCCGCTTTCTTCAAAACGAAACGTTAGGTTTCCCAGCGGACTGAAGAACCACGTAAACTGAGCCTCCGGGACCCCGAGACCAACCAGCAGAAACAGACGGTGCCTGCCACTGTGGACTGCCCGGCCAAGGGCCCCGAGAAGGTCCTCGATGGGGCGGGAGAGAAGTGTGGGGCAGAACAGGAACGCATAAACAGAGGCCAGGCTTCTTGGTCGGAGAGATTAGGGGGACACCTCACCCCCTCACCGACCAACACTGAAGGCTCTTACCTGTCCGGTCTGGCACTGCACTGCCCCATGTGAGACTCATCAACCAGGGAGGGTCAGGGTGCAGGCCTCAGGGAGGGAGGAGGAGAGGCAGGACAGGTGGGGAAAGGATGCTTTGCAGAGGAGCTGAAACGAAATTCCGGATGAACTGCTGGATGGACAACGGATGA